GAGGGGGAGGGGAGGGGAGGGGGGATTAGGGAGGGTCGGATTGTAGGTATTCTGTATTTCCCAACTTGAATGACTAGCTTTTCGTGTTTGATGGGAAAAAATGTTTAACTTCATCTGCCATAAAACGCATTGTAATGTTTGAACGTCTTACTACTAGACTAAGTGATGTTTCAAATTCAAATCTGAAGTATTTGGCTCAGTCAGGACATACCTTAAGGCTAAGGACTATAAGGAAAAGAAATGTATAGAAGACAAGACACTTACAGTTACAGTATGTATACGAATCTGTAACCTATGTGTGTTATCAAGCCCATGGCGAAATTGGCAGGATGCTGATGTCTTTTCCTTTTGTATGAAATTTGCTATGAACATCTTTTTAATACGGCGAAGCTACGTGAACAAGATATTTGAGACCTGAAAAGCTGTTCCCTATTTGCGGGTTCGCTCTGTGCATGCTAGATTGTTGTAAGTTCTTCTGTTTTAAGTCTAGATCTATATTATTTCAAAACCTCTCTGTCTCTCTCTTCCACGCAGCTCTCAAATCTCTCTGGCTGAGAAACAAGCACCCCGAGCAGACCGGAAGTGCCTCGTGTCCGTACAGCGCCTCAAGCCAACACCAGCCAGCGGTAGGCAGACGGTAGAGAGAGACATGGGAGTCCAGCAAAAAAACTGTACTCACACTTCTAATTCTAAGGGTGCCGAGCACTTAAGCCTGAGCTACACATCTGAGACATTGGAGCTTTTCTACTAGTTTCAGTATAAGAATATAGTTTAGATATTTTTTAAATGTTTAGGCGTAAAGCTAGGAAACGGAATCCACAAACACGTCTATGTAATGGGGTCAATTTAGAAACTAGCTCTTTTATTCATTGTTGAATTTGAAATAAATAGTGATACATGAGCAACGTGTACCAAGAGTCCCCGTCTTCCACTAATAAAAAAACGAATTGTAGCTGTGTCCATGTGTGCACGTGTGTAGGCCTATGTGTGCATATTACATATGGCGGAAAACATTCACAGAGTATGAGTTCATGAGTTGAAGGATATGTACAACATTAGGCCTTTTGAGAATAATCCGGTTTTTTAAACAAACAACTCCATTATCATATTTCCATGGAACATTGTGACAAGAGGTTTTCTCAAAACAATTACACAACACCAATAGCCACCTTCTATTTCTCTAAAAATTAAACGCTGGAAATAAAAGTCTTTTTACTGCTCTTTGTTTCATCTGTCTGCTCATCCCCAACCTGAAAAAAAAACAGCAGCTATTAAAACTTATAAAAGTTACGTTGGCAGGAGTGTGACTCCTTGCAGGGTGACCCATGTCTAAAGAGAAGGCTCTGACAAACATTGAGAAGGCTGAACCCATTTAGAAACTGCTGCAAGAGGACACCCCCCTCCTCAACTACTGTTCAAATTAATCCCCAGCAGTGTGAAGAAAGGTGAGGGGTGATGATCTGATTGAAATCAAAAGTTTTATGTCCTCATCTAAACAAACTAGACCTGTTAAGAGGCATGCTGTCTCAGCTCTACCTGTCAAGGCCATCCCAGTCTGAACTAGATACAGAAGAGGAGAAAAGGGAAAATTTCTAGATAAACCACGTTAATGAAACCAGTGCTCAAATACGTAATATGTTTCAACTAATTGTCGTGACTTCGCCATTCACACTGAACTGAATCAGTGAAGTCAAACAGCCACAAAGGTGAAGCCACTTTTGACACATTTGAAACATCCTGACTGCAGCTTTCTAAAAAGAGAAGAAAAAGCCTCATTGGAACATTTTTAAAAAATCAGGTATCACCTTTGAAAGGAAAATTCAACCCCCCCCCCCCCTCCCAAACACGCAAATTGTACTCCATCACTTAAACAGTGTCAAACCTTTTACTTTAACAGGATCTAGACCCACCCTCGACACATTCTCTCCCAGACACACAGGTCATGCATGTCCCATTCAAGTCTACAAATTCTACTGAACAATACAAAATGAAGTACAGCTTGGAACATATAACACAAACACGGAAAACAATAAATTATGGATAGCTCGTTCACTTTGCCATTCCCCAACTGATATTTCTTTAATTTTTCATTATATCGATGAACCTGAATTATGAATGTGTGAAGCACATTTGTCAATCCTTGACATGTTTGGGTTCTCGGTGCTTGCCTGTACTTCTCACAAATAGTTACAGACCATCAATAACACTTCCTACACATCATTAAAAAACTAAGCATCATCACATGCCTCCCTTCAGTAAAAAGTCAGCTCTGAGAAGGGCATGGAGCCCTCTGATACAGATTAGCCTTGCCACCTCAACCACTTGGGTTCGAATCTTTTCTCCACCAGTCTCCTTTTCCAAGAAGTCCCTCAACTCTGCCTCGAGTACATGTTAGGATATAAATAACAACAGTTCACGTCAAGACTGATGGAGAGTATAGAACATTATGATTAAAAACAAGTACATTAAAAAATAGCAGTCATTTGACTAAGCCAAGGTTTAATAAATATAATAATATAAAAAGGTCACTGTACAAAGAGGAAGAAGAAAAGACAGACAGAAAAAGAGATGGGAAGAAAACATCACTGTTAATAGACAGGTTTGAATTTGGGCGAAGCCCTTTGAAAGGCTGAAACAGAGGGGGGGGGATAAGAAAAAAAAAGCAAACCACACTAGAGCATCCGTCAACCACCCACATGTGAATGTTTAGAAAATGATCTGCACTGAATTTTATTTTCAAATAATCAGGTGGCTCGATAGGTGCAAAAATAAACCATTAAAATTTACACAGATATAACTGTTCAAACAGTGCTTATCTATGCTCAGGACCTTAGAATACATTTGTGACACGACGCGGTGGAATCAGGTGCTCGTCGAAGTTTGAACATGTAGTTATTGGTAGTACTTTAACTAACTGAATCATGTCCATTCGTCTATTGTTCAATGAAAAACACCCATTTATCTCTAAAAAAGCAGAGATATTTGTGATTGAAAGAGGTAGCGGTCGCCTGGTTTCAGAGTAAAATTAGCGAGAAAATGGCCGCAAAAATTTGCTGACTTTCATAGCTTGATAGCCCTTAATGGAAACCAAAAACTTACATTTTTGTGTGCCTTTAATCATCCCTTTTAATTAAAATCCACGTAAAAATGTATTCTTAGAAGGACATATAAGGTGTTGAGCCAAAAAACAAAAATTCGATTAAAATTGCCATACCGGTGGAAAAAAAACGATTTCTCCGATTCCAATATTTTGACGAGCGCCTGAATCTACCGCGATGCATTAAGACACTCACGTTTGTTACCACCTTGATCTCTGCCAAAGACCTTAAAGATCTAATACAAAGTACATGCGTACATATTTGCTCCTTGATCTGTGCCCAGCTCCTGCCCCATGGCTCCGGCACAGTGTGGCTCTTACGTGCTGCGGGCGCACGGCCCCAACACCCACACTCTGTACGGAGCCCTAGTGGGCGGGCCAGGAAGTAGTGACGACTACAAGGACGAGAGGGAGAACTATCAGAACAACGAGGTGGCCACTGACTACAATGCTGGGTTCACCACCGCTGTTTCTGGTGAGTGAGGGTGTGTGTGTGGGTTGGTGTTGGGGGGGTGGGGGTGGGGGCGGTGTTGATGTGAGTGTGTGTTAGAGAGAGAG